ATACCAATTCGTGCGTAACTGCAGAGCCAGTTGCATAGGCATAGAACTATGACTTCGCGGATAAAAGAGCATGTGCAGAGATAGGTTCAGCGTCAAATCTCCCGGGTCCTCTACCACTCTCAACTTCCGTGCTCGCGTAAGCCGCCAGCTTCTTCCATAGGTAAATACCTATTAGTCAAGAGCTCGGCGTTCAATGTTGTTACATCACGCTAATCCCCGCTTTCTTCGGTTTGCTGGGGCCGATGAAGCGTTCAGAAACAATTATCTGTCAGTTTAAAGCTTCCCTGGACCTAAGGGTGAACTAATGTTCTTTCTGCACCTCAAGTTTGTCTTGTCGTACCAACTGTTAGCTGTATCTAATGATATCGGTTATTGTTAACGGTACTGAAGAAACAATAAAAAATCCATGAATTTACCGGATTCGTTTTCTTTCCGTGATTTTCAAATTGTTGATAGAACTAACTGCTTTAAATCCATTAGAAAGTGTGTCCTTATAGTATCTCACAATACAACCGCTGACATCTTGCCTGGTGGAATAGCAGTTAATTGTTCGGACGACCTTATCCTGCTGTGTACTAACACCAGAGTGGCCTGGTCAACCATGAATAGCCTATATATGTATCCCCACATATAGTTAACGGCATCCGTTCCCGGAGTTACCTGTTACTGTGACTGCTAACGGTCACACGCTCCTGCTTCTACAGAAGCGCCATGGGTAGCTTATGCTGCACCGCCCACACTTCCCACCACACATCACATATTCACTGTAGACCTGAAGGAATAAGACAGGGAGCATGCAGATGGAAGTCACGTTTTATCAACGGAACCGGTTCACACTCCCTTAACATGCACAGCAGCAGCATTTCTGTCTAATATGGAAATCATGCGTACCAAACATACACAAGACGGTATCTGGGCAGGAGCCCGCTCCACACTAAGTGCATGGAACCACTCGGAGCCTATAACGGTCACGGAGACCGTATACCCCGTCATCCCAAGCAACAACGCGCTGTCTCATGGGGCCGGCATAATCGGGGCAGTAGTTTTTCGACAGGTTGTCACTGTCAACATTCACATTAAGCGCAGCCACACCGGAAATACCCATCAACATCCAACACCTGAAATGCAAGACAATCAATATGCAGGCACACGTACGGATCAGCTGTGGCCATTATGTAGCACACGTGCCACATCGACGGCACTATTCACCTGGGTTAGTAAATGGAATCGGAAGTAGTATACTTACCAAACGCAGCGTTGGTGATGACCTATTCATCGTACTCGTCGTCTCTTCGATGTTGGCCATTCTGGTGGCTTACCAGACCGGTTTGGTTCAAGCATTCGCGACCGCATGTGCTGCAGCACTGTGCATTTGACGTCGGCGCCTACCGCTCCTGCAACCTGCGTTTCTTTTTCTGAGGTAGCATGCATCATTCTTTGGCAACTTACTAGTCCTCGTGAGAACCAGGCTAGTGAGAGCCAGGCTAATCTTCACTCTATTTCTCAAGTATCAGAGCAGCGACCCACATGCAGACGACCAACCGTGGTGGTTTTTACTTGAGCTGAAGGGTGCCTTCGTTCCGGTCTGTGGCATTTCCTACCAGTGAAGAACCAGGAACTCCATTCCACTCTGAAATCTCTCCCGACGCCGGGTAAGAGTCTACGGGAAGCAGTCTCCGTAGTTTCCCCCGAAAAGTGTGGTTCGCCGAGGTTGTCCTATACACGCTTCCCTCTTCATCTTTGCGATTGAAATGATCATGAATAACCCAGTTTTTTCACACACTAACGGAGTGGAAGTTTTGTCAGGTGGCCGACTGACAAACCTGAAGTATGCGGACGACATAGTTCTCCTTGGGTCTGACGCGTTTGATATACAAGCCTTACCGAACATATATATATATATATATATATATATGTATATATATATATATATGCAACAGTCTACGAATAGACATAGGGCCATCAAAAGCCATGGAACTCAAGGGTAGGTACATATCTCGTAAAAAAAGACACAACACAACACGGATTGTTCCATGGTTTGTCAGAGGGCAAGGTACTACCCGGTTGCCTAAACCGAGGTAGGGTGTTGACTTAGGGAACAGCACCCCGAGCCTTTGGCCGAACAGCCTGCCCGCAAGGCAACGGAGCGAATTCAGGGAATCGCGCCCATTGGGAGCCTATAACTAGTTGTTCAATTCACACGCCTTTCGTTTGTACGTTTGCCAAACATGGGCCCAATGCTCCCCACGCACTACTGAATAGGATGACGCGTATCGCTGCGGGCTTCAACATGTGCTTTGCACTTTCAAAGTACAAAGTACTGTTGCAAGACTGGATAGACATAACTCCAGTTCCAGCCATCACTGAACAGTCACTGGAAGCGGTGGATCGGTTCACCTACATTGGCAGTTGGGTCACCTTTGATAGTTACATCACTGAGTAGGTTACTTCGCGTACCACCAAGACTTCTGTGGTTTTCCAGAGGCTCAACCGTCTTTGCAAACGGCGGGATATTAGGCTGTCAAAGATAGGTGGCAGGATGTGTAACGTTGCGGTAAGGCCAAACCGTACGGATCCACGACCTGGCCATTTCGCAGTGAGGACATTAAACGTTTGGCCTCTTATGAGTACTTGTTCACATCTGGTGGGAACACCGGTTTTTGGTAAGAAGCCTTGTGGTGCCTCACTTGAGTGCTCGCTAAAGCTCAACCGCTTACGTTGGCTAGATCACGTTTTCCATATGCCAGTTTTCGCCTCAGTGTGCATTATATGCTGTCGCTGCACCATGTTGGTGGGAACCGTGAGGTGGACTGTCGATGTCGTGATATAATGACATGACCTGCCGATGACTGAACGCATGTTGTCTGCTTTGTGACCCAAAGGCTACCGATTGGAATCTGTGTGCGTGCGGCCTACCTCGTAGTATCCTTAGCCCACGTGCGAATGGTGATGGTCGCGTGGCACAAAGTGTAAGTGCGGCGCACCGGCATACTGCTCATATCTCTTTTTTTCTATAGCAGTAGTTGTAGACCCTGTCGGACACGACGACCTCACGAGACCATTGGCGCTTTTGAATTCGGTTTCTTGCATGTAGGTATTAATACCTCGCCCATATTAATATTAATCACTCTTCCTTAATCTCCTCATTGTAACTTGTTTATGTTTCACCTCATTTTCTCATTGTCGTTATTTTTTGTTGATCTGGCGACGTGAATCGTGGCTACTGGATCCTCAGCACTTCGATGCCCGAATTATGGTCACTTAACTGAACTGTATTGGACCTAAATCGATCAACTTATTTAGGACCGATCCATACAGTAACGCTGACCGTACAGCAACGCTCTGAACCCGTCCTTTATCCACTTGATTTAAACCCTGCTGCCACCACGAATGTCTGGGTTGTAAAACCGCACTGGTCTTCCTAATGGGTGTAGTAGCTTCCCCAATGAGTCACTTAACAGAGTTGCTACAGCTTCCCAAATACTCATCGACCACATCGAGCGGCTTTTCGTCCACAGTGAAAACTGGTGGCGAGTCGATGCAGTCCTGTAACAGTAATTCACACTTTAAATGTGTGCAGCGCTGTGCGCCAGTTCATTGTTTAGTGCTATCTGTGTGGAACCCAGAGAGCTCCGCTATCCGGGTACTTTTGGTTTGACAGTCGGTCACCTGACAAAATCTTTGAGGTAGATGAAGTGAAATAAGTAATGTGAGTATTCCATGATCATTTCGATGAGGAAGTCGAAGAGAAAGTCTGGAGATGGGGGGCAGCCGTGGTAGAGTTTTCCGTGGGGTCTTACACGGTAATCATGTGACACATGGAACAACGTCCCAAACACGCCGTTCAAAGCCGGACTTCGCCACAAACAGATATAGTCAACCGAATCAGAAACGGCCTTTAAGTCAATGGAGACTACTAGGACAGGTCCTTTCCGAGTGTAACCGTCGAAGCACATGCTGATGTATAAATTTGATAATTGCGCCCTCGGCCGTGGTGGAGGTAGATCCGAATTTCAGTAGTCTGCCTCTCACGATGATCCCACATGCGAATAGTTTGCGCGCATTTGAAGTCAAAACGGCGCCAAGATATTTTTATCGAAACATCCTTTGGTGGTCTTTGGAGATGAAGGCAATACTATTTTACGTTAAGCCATTTGATGTCGAAAAATTAAGTAGACTGGTAACTACTCATCATCGCCACTTCATTCCGCTTTTGCAGCATTATTTATTGTGGGATCTCGTTATTCATGCATGCTAGTACATCAGTCAGGTGTCTTCAAACAATATTCGTGCAGAATACACGCTGCCGACTTTTGCTGCTTGGAACTACGCAACTTGTTTACCTGGACCACCGCTGTTTGCGGGATGTGCACTTGCAGCGTTTAGTGAAGGCGTCGAGTTTACTCTGTTTAGTGGTCGCAGAAATTGCACTCATTCTAAAGCGTACTTTCATGGCTTTTCGATACAAACTCTAGTGGAACTAAGGCATAATGCACAAGATTCTATATGATAATGCTCCTCGAGATGGGCGTGCTGTAACCTGATTCTAACAGTATGGCTGCCAGGTAACGATCGGACCAATCGTATTGTCGACATACTCTAACGAATGAACCATGGTAAGGAATAGAAACGCGGTATTGGATTAGAAATGTGTTTACTCCGGAGCCAAAGGCTTTCACATTTCTGACTCAACGATGGTCTTGTGATGCGGTGTATTAGCGCAGTCAAAATGCCAGTGGACGCAGGCACCTTTTACACAAAACGCACTAATGATACCATCTCGCATGGTGATGAAACGTATGCAATCTCTTTATCAAGCTCGGAGAAACGATCAACAGGTAAGTAACCAACCCGGACTACCAGTGTTCCACATTATTTCGAAAACTGATGGGAATTCGGAATTTAAAATTGAGTGTTGCAAAATTAGGAAAACGGTTTTAGGGAAAATGCATCTTTAAATGAACGTATGGAAACTCGTCAAACCTTTTCTAATATACCTAGGACCGCAAGTTGTTGATGAACACTACTATACAGTCCAAGGATGTGTGCCCAGTCTCGAATCCCAAATAAACCGTTTAAATTCCCTTACGCATCTTTTGTTACATTTTGGCTTTGCCGGCTACCCTGAAAATAAAAAACACTTGTACTCGTGGTGATTACCCTAGTGAGCAGACATTTTAAAGCACGCATCACATCCACGTACGACTTTACGCATGTTTCTTCTTCCTAGTCCAAGAAAAAGGGCCTAAGTCTTGAGGAGAAGCGGGAAAAGATGATGGAGTTCTTTTACGAAAAAGTACATTTGATTTATTTTCATAGCTCTGCTGCAGAAGGACTTCTTTCAGCTAAGAGAACTTGAACGCATGTGCCACAAAGAGAAGGGCATAAATTCCATGTCAGTTAAAGATGTTTTGATGAGCTTGGTACATGATGGGATGGTTGATACTGATAAAATTGGAACTTGCGTGTATTTCTGGGCTTTTCCAAACAAAGCGACACAGAAGGTTCATTTTCTCTTCTCACGATAAATGCCCTTGAACAGCACAAATCCACCATACGTAGATTGAAGGAAGATATCGAGTCAACAAAGACCCAAGTCGCAAAATGGGAACATGAACTTATGCTTGCAAGTTCAGTTCGTGAAGAAACCGTAAGTTCGTTTATTCGAGTAATGCTTATTCTTCAAGTAGCCGGGGCGACTGGAGTTGCTCGACGAGCTTCAAACGAAGAGGATGCGCCTCGCGCAATTGACTTCCGAATTACAGGACCTACAGAAATTTGATCCTACACGCCTAGCTGAGTTAGATAAGGACCGCCGAATGGCTCTTGATGCGGCGAATAGATGGACCGGTGAGTCTTGTGAATATTTCCGTTTTCTAAATATTTCTCACTTTGATCCTTATGTTCAGGGTCAGAACATCAATGGAACTCCTTGCAAAGTTAACCACTATCGGTGTCATGTCGCAGAACAGTCAACGCAAGAGGGTACAAATCTAAGCACCGTTGAGATTAAACTAGCTGTGCAAACTTGAGTGTCTGGTAGAGCGTGAATCTTATGTAGGTATATACTTACCACGCGAAAAATGTGCAACGCTAAGCTTTTGCATATTCACTGGTTCGTACCACAGTGACCATGTTCCAAGCATTCGGCACTATCTACCGTGGACTGGATACAGTCAGGTCAGTATTTGCCAGCCACGTATCTGGATTACTAGCCAAATGGCTGCTCCAGACGGCTTTGGAGAACAACTCAGACATGTTGCCATTCTTTCAACAAGAGAAGTACTTACAGACAATCACATGTCTTTTGATGTATCACCCTAGCACCGTTATTGAAGATAGTGAATTGCGACCAAACCTCATCTAACACCATGCAAACCATACTTAAATTCTGTGGGTATTACACCTCCCACTAGCGATCTGGTTTTCCACGCAGCAGCTTTGGAGTCGTAAAGATGTTTTGTGAGCCGGACCATTAAATAAAGAGGCGTGAAGCCATGAAAGAAACCCATTCGTCGAGTAGGCACAGAGTATCACTATCTCAGTTCCTTAGCGAAGACAGCCCGCAAGATTTTTGCTTATATGAAGCGGCGCCTGAGACCCGCAAGTGAAAGCGGTGTTAGAGAGCACTGACGGACAGCCTCTGACCTACAGCACTGAACGTGCGTCCGCATTGGCGGAGCACTTCGCTTCCGTATTTACAAGTGGGCATGCGCCTATGCCGAGCTCGACGTGTGCAGCCCCTACTGAACTCGAGGGCCTGGATTGCGGTGTAGATGTCTGCAGTCTACTTGCCAGTCTTGATGGCACGAAATCTGCCGGACCCGATGGACTTCACTCGCTTATTTTAGAGCCCTTATCGGCCATCATCTCGTCTGCCGTGACGGATCTGTTCAACAGACCGCTGTCCGAGGGTGCATTGCCGAGCGACTGAAAATGCTTGGTAGTGAAGCCGATTCCAAAAGCCGGTGACCCACACAATGTGGATAATTACCGGCCGGTTTGTTTCACATTTGTTTGACGAAGTGGTTTCTAGAAGATTATGTAAGCGGGTCTTCTCCAGTTGCTGGAGTCGAAAGATCTCTTAACGCCGACACAACACGGCTTCATGAAGGGCCGCTCGTGCATCACCAACCTGCAACAATGGTTGCAAGCGTTGAACCGGGGGAAGTCAGTGGATGTTATCTACATTGATTTCAGTAAAGCTTACGATAAATTGAACCGTGAGGTCCTGCTCCACAAGCTGAGGATGTGTGGTGTTGGTGGAGCATTGCACCGGTGGATCAGTGACATCCGCGAAGCACTCTCTGCTGACAATGTTATTGCCAAATCCCTGACAACAGTTCCGTCATCACCTAACTACAAGGGCTGCGGTCCAAGGCTAATGAAAGTAATACTACACTCCGAGGGAATGACGCAAGTCCTGTTGGATAGCTGGTTAAAGTTTCGAGCTAGGTTGCCAACAGAGATCCGACTAAAGGCAGCAGGCGAACGACCAAAAGTCGAAAGCAATTCAATGGAACTTGCAAACGCAACAAATTCTTTATGTGCACATTCATGCGGAGAGACCGACACAACAGCGCCCACGGCACACAGGAGGACCGAGCTCAGCACGAGTGAAACTTCTGTTCAGGAACGCTCAATAATGCCATACAACACGACTGAAATACATAAACCAGAAAACGATTAACGGCCGGCCACCTAACGGCCGGCTTAAAAACCAACACAAACTTAACATCTGTCAATGAACTCCTAACAAGAAAAGTCCTATCTTGCATGTACACCAATGCCCAAGGCCTTCTAAGCAAGTTGGCCGAACTTAGAGAACGCCATGCCCCACAACCGCGGGACCTCGTCATGATTACAGAGACATGGTTTAACCTTGAGATAACCTATTCTGAGGTCAATTTACCCGGTATGTCGCTGCTTCGGACCGATAGAACCGGAAGGGGTGGCGGTGTGATTATTTACTGTAATACAAAGCTCCGATGTAAAGTTATCGATCATCCGGAAATCCGAGTTCCCGATTTGCTTTGGTGCCGACTATGGTTGCGAAACAAGGACACGTGTCTACTAGCCGTGATTTATCGCCCACCAAACTCTACGTCGGAAATGGACTCCAAACTGAACCACGTTTTTCAGTTTGCTTTGAACAAGTCCTACACGCACATTCTTATCGCGGGAGACTTTAACGTGCACGACATATAAACGCCGGCAACCGATGGTATGCAGTTTAAAGCCTGCTTGCAAGAGCTGATTGCTAGTCACCCTCTTTACAATCACGTAACCTCTCCCACCAGATTTCGAACTGCTAACAAGCCGTCGATACTGGACCTTGTGCTAACCAACGAAGAACTCATGGTTGACGGGATAGTTACAAGCACACCACTGGGTCGTAGTGATCATGCTACTCTACTCTTTGACCATATATGCTATGCGGAGTACCCTGAAAAGGAGGTTGATAGAGTGCATACTGTTACACACTACAATGTGTTGTCTAAGCTTGTTAAGGATCCATCTTGGACTTTCTTAACCGAATTCCCTCCAGATGTTGCCTGGGAAACATTTACAAGGACGTTTAGTACACTGGTAGCGCACGCATCAGAAGAGAAGTCCTTCCAAACCCAAAACAAGCGTAAGTCATTTCTGAGGAGCAGAACACGTAAATGTATGTCCCGGAGGGATTTGGCATGACGAGATCACCAGTACTGCCCGAATGCCGAAACCTGGACTGCATACGTGACGCATCCTAATTTCTGTGTGAAACTGATCCGCGAAGACAGTCATGCATCAGCAGAAGTTAATGAAGCGATTCTGCACTAACCGCAAACTCCTGTACAAGCACGTTAACGGCCTTCGAAAGGTAAAGCGAGGGGTTCCAGCGCTAGTCACGGCTGATGGGTGCACGCGATCAGCAAAGGAAGCAGCTGATCTCCAACGGCTTCATTACTCCCAAACTTTCCAGCAAGTAATGAGTCCAAACATTCTCCTCATTTCTAATACTCCACCATCTGGTTTAGAAAACATCACCTTCACTGCGGAAGTTGTGTTGAAGAAGTTGCTATCCTTGCGTATCCACAGTTCTCCCGGAGCTGACAACATCCGACCAAAAGCTCTGCAGGCGGTAGCTAGTGATCTAGCAGAACCACTGGCAGTTTTCTATCAGCAATGTCTAGAAGCGAACCGTATTCCACCAGTATGGAAGCGCACTGATCTTGCCAACTACCGTCCAATAACACTATTTCCCGTACTATCCAAAGTGATGGAATCAATCATCGCAGACGCGCTGATGCAATACCTGGAAAGCCACAGTTTAATAGCCCCAGAGCAACATGGCTTTCGTCAAAAGCATTCGTGTAGTACTAACCTATTAATTGCACGTAATAGCTGGACTGAAGCTGTTGGTGATGGAATAGGAGTCGATGTCATCTACCTGGACTTTTCAAAAGCGTTTGATCGCTTAGACCATCGCATTCTTCTTCAGAAGCCTCGGAATTACGGCATTGGTGACCCAATCCTGAGTTGGATTGAGAATTTTCTACAAGAACGACGGCTAGTGGTGAGAGTCCGAGAATCATTTTCTGATGCAATTGATGTGACGTGTGAGGTACCACAAGGCTCGGTTCTTGGACCTCGTCTATTCTTGGTGTTCATTAACGATTTGGCGAGATCGATTACTTCCGATTTCCTATTTTTCGCTGATGATATCAAGATATGATGAAGGATCAGAGGACCGCACGACCATGAACGGCTGCAGTGTGATCTTAACACAGTGTCGAACTGGTCAGTTCAAAACGCCCTACCGTTCAACGTAGACAAATGCCGCGTTGTACAATTATGCCATAGACATAACCACACCTATTTGCTTGGGACAAACGGATTGCAAACCAGCTCCCAGGAACGCGACCTTGGTGTGCTCGTACGGAGCGACCTCAACTGTTCAAAACTAGCTGAGGTAGCTGCGAAAAGAGGCAACCAGCATGTTGGCACGCTGCGAAGGGCATTCGGGAGATTTGACCCATCAATCTTCCCAATGATGCACAATTCCTACGTGCGCCCGCATGTTGAGTACGCTATCCAAGCTTGACAACCTTGGTTGAAGCGCGACCTAAAGGCGTTAGAGGCACCACAACGAAGAGCAACAAAGAATGTAAAGGGCCTGCGCTATCACTCTTACCACCGAGGGCTGAAGTTGCTGGGAATTTTCAGCGGGCGCTATCGAAGGCTGCGCTGGGATCTCATATTAGCCTATCAGATACTGAGTGACCCCAACCACGTATGCCGCCATTTGCTGAAACTTAGTCACAACACACAGCTCAGGGGTAATAGCTTAAAGTTGAAGGAACAATATAGCCGTCTAGAGTGTCGACGGAATTACTTTTCCCTTCGGGTTTGCCAACCCTGGAACGCACGCCCAGCCTCAGTTGTATCATCTCCTACCTTGGACTTTTTCAAAAAAACGATTAGATGTTGCTCTCAACTCCCAGCATTTTGTTACCTAAATTACTCTATTGTGGATTACTCCAAGCATGCTTTTCAACAGGATTTATGTATCAAATGGACCTAAGTGAGCGACCATATTTTACCTTTCTCACTCCTTACATCAATGATCACTGCACTCCAGTATCTCACTGAACGTTTACGCTCGATAATTTTTTTAAATTTTACACTAATTTTAATTGTCAAAGTATTCATCTCAGCAAACGTTCGATAAATGACCCAGACATATTTTGATTTCATCATATTCACCCCAACCATCCTACGGGACATGTCAAGCACTTGCTTTTATTCCGTGATAAATCATTGTTGATTGTTCCTTATTGAGAGAAGATGGCCGGTACAGGTGGATGACCACCTAACGGACTGGTACCCCTCCACTAGCGGTGTACCCCAAGGCACAGTTATGGGGGTCCATTTTCTTCCTGATCCACATAAACGAAGTAACTCAGCTTCCTCGGTCGCCTTGTGCACTACACATTAATTTGATTAGGGGTGTGCAACGTAATTGGAGCTTGGCTAGAGGTTTCAAGATTGATCACAAGCATTTGCGGATGGCAGGGGCAAGAGCAATTTCGTAGATAGGCGACAATTTCGTCCCACACAAAATACGGGTTCTGATAAAACAAAGAA